TCTGTGTAATGAATGGTAAATGTAAGTCTAGAAAAATATACTATATCGATTAAGCGACCCAGGGAAGGAAAAGTTGGTGAGCTTGGGCAAAACTCGGTCAAGGGTTTGATTGCCAGACAACGTAATGCAACCTATTTGCCACTATACCATCTGTGTACGTCTATCATGAAGCATCCTTGACAAGTCTTTCACCCTTATCACCCACCACATTACTGCGGGAAAACTTATGAACCTTCTTGATTGGAGAATTTTCCGGAAACTTGACAGTTGCCGTTGCTTCCTGAGCTAAATCCGGTTGCTGCCCTTGGAGTTCTTCCGGTATGATAGATGCTCGCTCCAATGTTCGCATTTGATAAGCAAACGGCGGATGAAATTAGCTCTTACACGTTCACTCCTAATTGTGGTTGGTCACTAGTAACTTCCTACCGATCAGTAGACCATCGGTAGGAAGTTGTTAGTGTCCGGCGTTCAAATGAATTTACCTTGAAATTGCTAGAGCACAAATTGCCTCAACCAGCCCACACTGTACGAATTCATATAGCGAGACGATACGCTTGAGGAGTCAGCAGCGCTCATGAGACGGAAAAAAATAACAAGATAATGAAGAAAGAATGAAATAGAAAGGATAAAGCATTCGGCGTTAGGCCGATGTCATAGTTTGCGATTCGCTAGCGAATCCTCGATTCGCACTGTCACGTGACACTGTTTGAAAGTGGCGGGCTTCCTTTGAACGTTGGGTCCCGCCACTATTGAGTCGCTGGTACCTAGTTCGACTCGCTGGTACATCGTTCGATTCGCTGGCGCAACGCTCGGATCCAGCGATTCGCTAGCGAATCGCTCGATTCGCAAACTATGACATCGGCCTTAGGCGGTACTTTTTTGGGTATACGCAAGTCATTACGCATCGATTCATTATCGTAGTGACACTTGAGTGGGAATGGACTTCCTCATAATCACTAGGGACAGCCGGTGGACAAGCCAATGTTTTTTGTATTTGCAGATAAGCCTAGTGCCAGTTAACCCATATCAGAGAAATAAAAGGGCTTGGCTGGGCTGGTTGGGGTGCGATGAGGAATTTGGTTTCTGAACTGGGCGTGTGGTAAGCGGTGCCACATGCCACTACACCACTTCCATCCCAGGAAAATGATGCAATATAAAAAGATTCAGGTCTCAAAGGACCCTTCGGTGACGTTCAGTAGCTCTGTCATAATATGCAACAGCAATGAACACCGAAGAGTTGGTTGAGTTCAGCATCCAGTCTCTTGCTATAGATATCATTCAAAGTTCGTACTCAGAGATGTGAAAGTGAAGAACCAGAGTTACGACATTTTCTTCAGAAAAGGAATGCTGCCCGATTTCAGGGATCACTAGCATAGATCTGCAAAAAATAAGCAGCTAGTTTGCTGAACAGAGGCTTTTCGATGCACGCTCAAACCCCTTCTTGTGTTCTTGGCGAGTAGTTGCACCGTTCCCAAACACATAAACATGGCGCTCGGTGACGTGTGCACCGGATCATGGGGATTTCTACGGATGAAGCCGGAGTGGATAAACGTTGCTGAATCGCCTTTTCGGGGGATTCTACGGACCGTGTTAGTAAACAGTGAAACATTTGTTACGTATCTACGCGAATTTCTGCTCTGATCTGCAAGGGAATGCTATGGAACGAACAATAGTTAACATAAGCGATGAGCATTTTAAAAGGTAAAAGCTGAGGTGGGCAACCCTTCTCCTACACGTAAAAATTTGAAATGTTGAAGGTCACATTATTTGTAGAATGCAGGGCAGTGCAGATAAGAGCAAAGAAATGGTTCGCTAAGGAGAACTTAGTCAAGGTTAGGCTTAGAATCCTCAGAAACAGGATAGTGTAATTGAAAAGAGAGGTTTTTCAAAGATTATTCATCATGCGGGCTCACAAAAACTACATATGTCACGCGACACATTCAAGGACAATTACAGCAAATTACAGAACTGCTGGACTTGAAAACTGAACCCGAGAAGCTAAGTTCTCTAGTATAGGCGTAGAAAATTTGATGCTCGCAATCGTGATCAAAGAGGTAATATTTACGTTACAGTAAATCCAACTGCTTCTCAGGCTCTCGGGCGTCTTTCAGACGCTCAATAGCAAAACTCATAGAAAAGGCATAGTTGGCAATACTTTTTTATTTCTAATTTAATTGTGATCTTGATTGATCAGTGTTACCTGTGTCTAATGATGTTCTTGTTTTGTCTGGTGTTTTGTTCCTAACGTTGTCTTATACAACCTATTGATAAATGAATAAAATAAATATTATAAGTGAGTTGTAGATGGGTGAGAGTTCATTATGAAAGTGTGGATATAGCACGTTTGACCATATTCTCGAAAATAATGTTTCATAATATATGTACTGGAATCGGTAATAGAGTGGAAAAGGTAGTTATCGTATAATATATCAAAAAATAAAGTGGAATGGCAAATTTAAAACTAAAATATCTCGAGGCAACACCAGGAAGGAGGATGAAATTCTTGAGAGCACTGTAATGCTCATTTTGATGTGTATGATGTGCCAAAAGGTGTTTAATCTCGACATTTCGACAAGATCTTCTTCCACATGGCCTGAAGGGAAAAATTCAAAACAGGGCATTCAAAAACTGCTGGTAGGTGACACTAGGACCAAGGCCAGGAGTAGGGAGGAAGGTTGTTCGCGTCTCTTCCGGAATCCCTTCCTCTACTAAGACTTAATGCCGAGTCTGTGAAAGGTGCACTCACTTCCATGTTCTCCCTAATGAGATGAGCGTTTCTCAAAGCTCCAAAGGTTGCTCCATTTTTGAGAAATACCTTCTAAACCGCAGAACGCCTCTTCTAGCTGGAGGTTTTGACGAGCCCATAAGAAAAGCAGCGAAAAAATTCACCCAAAAAATGTATTTGAGAGTTCTGAATTCTCACTATCAAAGGATCGAGGAAGTTCTGCTCCAACAGTCGCTCACCTGAAGATGTCGTTGAAAGCTCCAAGAAATATTTATCTGAATTCTACCCCACAACTATAGCTCGGCTGCTTTTGCAGGCATTCTACTAAAAAAAGGGCTGAAAGGCGGCTAACGATGAAATTTTTTAGAATTACTTACCTGAAATAATAACTGAATAGCAGCAGTTTTCTCCAAAACTGTTCTCCTCCTAGCAATGAGGAAAGGAGGAGCACACTCGCTACTGATCAAATCGAACAATGTTCACAACGCGAAGTAGCCTTGATTTCCAGATTTCGAACTTCCTTACTACCATGACGTGCAGCCTACGGGACCTACCAAAACAACACTTTTTTCCTCTTTTTTTGAACTTCGGATTAATCACATAACACTAAATTTTGGATGTGCACTAAGATTCTTTTTCAGGTGCCATGGCACTCTATAATCGCCTTCTCACGTACGGCATCACAAGAATCTAGAAGGAGTACATGATGCAGTGCTGCAATTTTATTCGCGAAAGGATGTATTTGAAAAAAAAGGACGACTTCGAGAACGGTAGATATTGTAATAAAAAAGCCGCATTGATTTAGAGGGAGAGCCGGTTCAAAACAAGCAGCATAAGCGCATAATTTTTCTGTAAGACCATGTCTGAGAGCTTCCATACCTACTATCAATCCTACCCGATGAGTAAGTACTCTGAATGGATATGCCTACCTGAAGATGATTACATTA